CCATTATTATTTTGTCCTGATATCGGGTGCTTCTTTGAATTTTCCTCGTCATCTTTGTGTTTATTTGAATTCAGTCCTCTTAAACCTAAAGAATCTATTCCTGAATCTCTTTGTAAATTTTGACTCTTTTCTGCTATTCCATCATTCTCTGGCTGGCGTGGAACAGGACTGGAAAGACAAACTGATGCAAGAGTCAGAAAAACAATTGATTTTGTGAACATCATTTTTGTGTTTTTCAATAGATTCAATCCTTTAAGGGTTGTTATAAAGATAAGTATCTGAAGTTTTTCTTGAATAGAATCACAGTATTTATATGGTTTTTTGATGTTGCAAAATAAGAAACGAGTTCAAATAATTATAAAATTAATTATTATAGCGAGTTTTTCAATATTCAGTACAGTTGGATTTGGTTTGATGTACTAAAATATAGACAAAATATCATTAATACCATAAATTTCTACCATTTTGTACATTCTGCATCGCTAAACTTGCATTCTGCACTGCAGTCTTTGTTGTTTCTTTTCCTATTTGTTCAAACAAACTTTCTTCTACATTTACAAACCAATCTCTTCATTTTTTAGAAACTGTTCCTGTATTTTGCAATGTACTTTCTTTGTCATTTCTTTTCCTATTTGCTCAACTAAATTTATATGTGCGTCTACCTACATAAAAAGCCTTTTTTGTAATTCTTTTTCCCTATTTATAATACTGCGTTTCTCCAAAAACTTATTTATGGTTAGTTATTGATAAAACATTTCAACTAGATGCAATATAACAAAATTTACATTTGTTAAACAGTCGTTTCTGTAACAAGTGTGATGAGGTAAACTAGCTTCGAAATAAAAAAATGTTATTTAATAATAGATTATGTTAGTTTATATAGAGATAAACTGAATTTACTTGAAACTAGAAGATTTGGATAACTGGATCATTGGAAGTACTGAAAAGCTGAAAAGTACAAGTATCAAAAAACTACCTTTTCTCAAATATTTGGTACCATAATTTTATACTCTTTTAGTAGTGGTGTTTTATGTGTTTTGTTTACTCAAACTATTGAAGTTTCGTGAAGCAATCTCATTTTAAACTTTGGTTTATTAATAGCAATATAGAATAAGACGATTCCCAACAAGCCATTTCCGTTATGAAAAATCAGAGATATGATACTACTTTTAGGCATGGTATTATGTTTCTCTGTGTGGCTGTATTTAATTTTAAAGTGATGAAATGGTTAACAAGGTGATATAAATATTAAACAGTATGTAAGATTAATATGTCATATAAATACGATTGAATAATTTGCTTTTAGTTATGGCAAACTAGTATTCATAATTATTATTGATATATAATTTACGTTTGAACCTGAGATGATACAGATTGAGCAATACAAGGTTCACAAAAATCTAGATTATAATTCATATTCTTTTATATAAGATGATTATATTATGTTGAGGGTATAAAGTTTAAAATTATCTATGATATATCCAATGTTTATAAACTGTAGATAGTCAGTTTTTGTATCTTTAGAAAATATTTTAATAAAATTATAACCTCAATGATGTATAAGCTTGTTTTCAGACATTGATTTCAGTTTATGTTGTTCTGAAAGTAAAGTATCTATTTTGAACAAAGGTAAGTTGGTATAGATATATTTTTT